CTATTCTCGATATAAGGATAGTTTGAGCTCGTCGTGACATACCCTGTATAATAGGTTTTATCACCATTGACAAATCTGAAAGTTCAGAGCTAACCATGATTATTAATCGAGTAGCTTGCAGCACATTGTAGGTTCGATCAGCAGCGACAAAATTCGGACTAATCCTCATTCATTCGTTCATACTGAGGTTTATACAATCTGTATCTAACACACTAACTAAACGATTTTAGTAAACTTGACATTGTAATGAACCTCAAATTCTGACGACATCACTCCAATATATTTCATAACATGGCCACTCCAGTTTATAAAAAAAACAAGTCTTGATCAATTCATCCATGACATTGTTGAAACCGATGATTGTTCAAATATCCAAACAAGTTAAGGAATTGGTTGAGACGGCAACGTTGTTCATGTTACTGCATAGTGAATTTTCAATGACCACGATTATATCGTGTTTTGGTCAGCTGACTAATCACTACATTCTGGATATAATAATAATAATAATAGTACTTTATTGAACCAAACATGATCCAAAGGGTTATTGACCGAGGTCCTTCTACCCATTCTGGATATATATTTCTGGTCAGAGTGGTATAAAATATACACTTGGCAAAGTTACCAGCTTGGTTTGGTACCGAATTTTGTTTCGCAACAGACTAAAATTATTGTATGATAACCAAGAGGGTGAAAACACTTTTTTCTCTGATTGGCAGCAAATATTAATTTTGCTGACACATATCAATCAGCAAAGTATTACTTTTCCTGCCTAGGCAGCAAAGTGGTTACATTGCTGATTGATAAGTATCAGCAAAATTAATAATCCATAAATCGTTTATAATTTCTAGCCCCACGTTGGGCGCCAGATGTTACAATATATATACTAGTTAGTGAGGCTGTACAAAAATCACAAAACTCACCTATAATGAATACAGGTACAATGACCAAATATCAGGAAACCTGGTATTTGCACTTTTTGACCAAAAGCACTCAATATGAATCCCAAATAAATTTCAATGGATTACACAATGATGATGGTTCACTGATAGGGAATCATTTCTGCGTTCCGAAACTTCGAGACTTTGAAAACTACTTTTTGCCACACTTTTTTGCGATGAAGACAAGGTGCGCGAGACACCTATATAGTATTTTCCACAAAGGGAATTCTGGGACCACTTAGGCAACCCGTAATTCATTAATTTGTACGCTGTGTGGTATACCACTAGGCGAAATTCCTCCCACCTAACTATCATTTGGCCAATCGGTACAAAGTTCACTAGGTGCTAGAAATAAACAACAGCCTTGGGCATGCTGGCGTTCACCGCTTCTACAACAAAAACACCGTGTATATAAAAACTCCTCAACGCGGGGACTCCAAAGTACGAGGGTGAACGGAAAGTGGTAGGACGAGCACAGATATCCGAACATACATTTAGGTCGTATACAAATTAGGTAATTTTCCATTTTTCCATGATGGACAGAGAAAATGATTTTGCTACAAAATTATTGTTTTTCAACCACGAAATAGCCCCAATGTCCTATAAGACCGCCGACTAAGCGTAGCCTAGCCAAACAAAAATCTAGTCGACATTATATTCCCCCAGAGGCGTCGTCCTTCATAGACAATATGAAAGCAACGCCATCAGAGTAGGAAAGAAGGAAAAAAACACTCCAAAACTGAAATTCCCATACGGGAGTGGCTGGTTGACTGCTGGCTGGAGACTGCCCAGCACTGATGAGAGCCAAAGAGCTCGAAACCGGTCTGTAGGTGTCTAGGGTGGCCTGGCTAATCGAAATCAATAGGCATTCAGGAAAGGATCACTTGTATCAGTATTCGTTCATTCGAGTCGATGCAAATATGTCGGGAGGATATAATTCAATGTTCTGCGTGGCATTAGCCAGGAAAGTATTCGATTTTCTCCCGAAATCTACCATTGTTGTTGTTCATTTTATGAACATGGTGTGGAAATGACTTTGAACTGTCTGTATTTATTATTGTTTCTGCCTATTCTGAAGGAATTGTTCAACTTACAGCCCTTCATGAAGGAAGTATCGGAGGTGGCCATGGAGCGGAGTTGCAGCAAAGCCACGCGGACTTCGGTGGACACGGGGGGGACTTTGGAGGACACGGGGGGGACTTTGGAGGACACGGGGGGGACTTTGGAGGACACGGAGGGGATCTAGGCGGACACGGAGGGGACCTAGGAGGACAAGGAGCCTCTCTCACCGACGGCGGTCACGATTTCTCCGGGAGCCAGGAGGGCAGCTATGGCGGCGGGGATTCCGGTTACGGTGGCCACTTCGGGTCGAGTGGTGCCGGGTATGGAGGTGCAGGTGGCTTCGAGCACAACGCCATCTCCCAGGAGGGCGGGCATGACGCTAGCGGGGGGTATTACGGCGGAGGCAACAGCTATGAAAGCCTGGGGGGCGATCAAGGCCATGGTGGCTACAATTAGGGTTGATTTTCTTCGAGGAACTCAGGTTCTCTGTTTCTTTCTTACAAATGCCAAAACTAGTCCTTTATTGTTATGCTAGAGTTAAGTTTAATTATTGTTATTTACTGTTGTTAGGAGTTTTTTTTTACTTTTGTAATTAAAATAATCGAAAATACTCGCTGTTTATTTGATTTGTCGTAACCAGGCATTGGCGTAACTAGGACTTTACTCCAATTCCTCCCCCCTTTTATTTTTTAAAGGGCCAACGAAAAAAATTTTTCATTTTCGACAAAAGGAATTATAATCTCTGATCCCGAAATCCTTCAGATGCCAATTTTGAATCAGATCAGACCATAATCAGAAAACCATATGCCACATTGGATTCACCATCTTGAATATTGAATTTTGATTCGAATCGGAACATAATCAATGAGAATATCGTCCGCCATATTGGATCCGCCATTCTGTTTTTTCCATTCAATTATAATATCACAACGAATTGTCACCGGAATAATATTTACTTGCCAAATTTCAAATCAATCGGACGATTTAAAGAGAGTCAAATTCAACTTGCACGTTTTGATTACAAACAGACACAAGGACATGTTAAACTAAGTGAAAGCTTGTTATGTGATATATAGAACGAACAGAGTAACAGAAGAAGTGAGTATGGTATAATCATCGAAGTCAAGCAACAAAGAGCGCGGTTAGTACTTGAATGGGTGACCGCTTGTGTCTACCGTTTGATGAAGTCGTTTATTTCCCTTTTTTTTTTGCTTGTCTGCATTTGTTGCTAACTTCAGTGCACAGGTGAAAATTAACTGAAACTATGTGATTTTTCCGTAATTTGAAAGATCAATTTGAGGTCATGGACCAAAAACACCTAAAAAAGACGTCTTAAAGACGTACATATTAGTGGAAAATGTACGTTTTAAAGACGTCTTAAAGACGTCTCTTGGGCGTAATATGTACGTCTTTAAGACGTACTTATGTCCCGACATGTACGTCTCAAAGACGCCTTTAAGACGTACTTTGGCTGATTGATGTATATTTCTGTAGCCTATCTTATTTGCCTTGAAATTCTCTATTCAACTATGTATCACAATTTGATATTCGTTCATTATTTGGCTGTTAAATTGCATTTCAATGAAATACATGAAGTAGGCTTTGGCCCGAATGCAATGACATTTCGATACTTGATAGGCTTGGAAATCCAAAGATCATCATTGAGTCGATATTATCAGAAAATTTTCCATACCCAGAAGACTGCCAATGATTTTATGGAGTTTAGAAAAATCATCGGAAAATAACGCACGATATTGAGAAAACTAAGAAAGAATTTCAGCTTTTTTCATTTGGCTACTTGTGCAGAAACTATTTGTTTTCAATTTTCGCTATGTAGCCATAATATGATCATCCATTTGGATACATGAAACTGAAATTGTTGTTATAATTGATGTATCTTCCTAATATCGTGAGCTATTTTCGGATTATTTTTTCAAACTCAATGAAATTATTGGCAATCTTCTGGGACCGATTAGGGTATGGAAAATATTCTGATGATATCGTTCAAGTGATCTTGAGATTTCTAAGCCTATCAAGCATCAAAATGTCATCATTGTATTCGGGCCACAGCCAACTTCATGTTTTTAATAAAATGCGATTCAACAGCCAATCAAGGAACAAATATCAAATTGTGATACGAAAGACTACAGAAATATACATGGTGCAATTTGGAAAAAAAAGTTGGGCCTACTTCCTATCAAACAGGTGGTTGAAAAACATTGTCATTGGGAAGCACCATCATCGATTACATAACGCCTGTGAATTTCAAATTTTTATCCCTTCAAATGAAACAACTACAGGCTGTTACAGGTCTCCTGTGTCACCAGGTATATTTTTGAGTAAAATTGACCGATGAAAATTCCAAGATGGCAAGTGGGCGCCTTCTGGAAAAAAACTCCTGACGAATACTTCACAATTCTAGGATATAGAGTCAACATATTTTTCTTCTACAAAATGACGGAACATTTAATAGTTGTCTGAATTCAAACACATCAATTTGGATATTGTATTCCAACAAGTTTTCCATTTGTTATTAGCCAAGAGCGGCCAAGAGAACAACCAAGTAAATAGTTTTAAGTTTCTGAAGGGCCCGCTAGGGAGCGTAACTGAAATCTTGACTCCAAGAAAATGATATTTCAGTGAATTTTCCTATATTAACTCAACAAAAAAATACCTAACCATTCAAGTCGAAAATAATCTAGACCATTTCTGTTTCACCATTTTCTCTGTATCTCTAAAAATGAAATAGTAAGGGCATTAAAAAGTTAACGTACAGAACACCCTGTATCTTCGAAATGACTGAACTGATTCAAACTGATTTGAGGTAGTTGAGAAGAGCAATTCTGAAATGAATATTATAATATTCGAAGTTTTCTCAGGTTCATAATATGTCGTCACTTCTGGGCATTCTTCGACATTCCTACAGAATGGGTAAGAGGGCATGAAACACCAATGATATACTTGAACGCAATATAGTATGTTGACAAAATCATAGTGAAGTTACAGAATGTTTTGGTTGCATTTTTCGTACACTTTTCCATCATCTATCATCGATCTGACTGGTCTCTTCAAATCTTGTTGTATTTCTTCAAGAGTTTTTCCTCTAGTTTCTGGTATGATATAGTAAGCTATTATTGCAGATATCAAATTGCAACAAGCAAATACTAGAAATGGTACAAACATTCCAAAACGGGAACTCAGCAGGAAGAATAAATAATGGACAGTACCAGACATGGCACAAGTGAATACCACAAGTAAACCTACACCTTTCGCTTTGATCGCTGCCGAAAATAATTCTCCTTGCATAAGGGCTGGCATGATGTCTATCCCAAACGAAGAGAGAACAACGAATAGCACCAAGCCCGTAACAGGTATCCAGTTCCAAAAACTAATATCCACGTCTGTGACTTGTTCATCCATGTAAAAATAGATAGACTCGATAAGTAGGACAATACTGCACGGTGTGAGAGAAAAAATTAGGGATTTTCTTCTTCCCAGAATATCGACAATGAAAGATGCAAAAAAGCTCATCAATAGGTGCAAAGCCATGTATATAATTGATGATGTTTCAGGGGTGAAAGTACCAACTGACTTTCCAAAAATATAACCGATGTAGAAGACGAACACAAATGCTCCACTCAGAATCAGAGAAAACCTTAGGAACGTCAAGGCAATCAAAGCTTTCCTGTTGCTTCTGATTAGGAAGAGATCTTTCCACCTTCCTCTTTCAGACATCTGGCGATCCACATCTGCTTTTAACGCTTCAAAATCGGCACTGATATCTTCCCTTCCTCTGAGTCTCCTCAACGAATTTTTAGCTTCCTCATGTCTTCCTTTCATTAGAAGAAATACAGGACTCTCTGGCATGAAGCAGAATACGATACCAAACACAACAGAAATGGGCATGAAGATGTAGCAAGATGTTGGGACACTATAGTAACTACCAATAACAGTAACGAATAGTTGACCTGCATAAAAGAACACAGTCATAGCATTGCCCCAAGTTCCTCTCACTTTGGGTTCACTTATTTCACCGGTGTATGTAGGTATGGCAGCGAACATGATGCCATGCGACATACCTGAAAATACTTTGGCAATGAAGAAGACGTAAGCTTTTCTTGCGTTCGCTATCAATATCCAGGTTAGTAGGTCGGGAATGCATATCAGGAGTAGGGTTCTCTTTCTTCCGATGACGTCACAGAGTTTGGAGAAGATTGGGCAGAAAATGATCACAGTGTAGATCGACACTGCTTGCATTCGAACGATTTCTTCTTCGCTGATGTCGTAATTTTCTTTGTCCTTCGAAATTTTAGGCAAGAAAGGTGCAGACCATCCGATCGATATTCCTGGTGTGATTGCTGCTAAGCTTGCTGAAAATATACAATGCGAGAATCAATGAAATCATTATTGAAATCTTAACAAAAAACAACTTCTCTACTGGCTAGTACCACATATTGAATTATAATACGTTTTTCCAAGAAATCAAAGCACCACCAAAAATTAGGCAAAAGTTTAAGATACATTTTCATCAAAACTACTCGTCCAATTCAGGCGTTTTTCGATTTGAATCAATTAATCAACTTTATTGTTATTCCCAAGAAACAACATTTGTTTATAGCAGGGAACATGGTGAATATATACATATATTTGACAAAATAAAGATGAAAGTGAAATAGAACTCACACTCAAAAAGAAAACATTTATTTTATAATTTTTTTTATTCGTTAATCTCTATTCAAGATATCATTCACCTGGTTTGTTATCTGAAAGAGTATCAATATTTCATGAGACATATATTTTAGAACAATGAAAAATACAAAAGTTTTTTCATTACAATTTTTCCAAGCAGAACACTTTCAACTATACATCCAGCATTAGGACGTTAATGTGAGTAAGTAATCAACGATAGTTTATTTATAATATAGATGATTACGCGTATCAATCAATCACTCAATCAATCACTCAATCAATCACTCAATCAATCAATCAAATATGCTTTGATGTCAGGAGAAATAGTTCTTATCGACAAATTCATTGTATAGGTACCTATTACATAGTGAAATATGAAGAATGTTGAAAATAATGAAAATATTAGAAGCATTAAAAAGATTAAAACATTAAAAACATCAAGAACGTTAAAAACCAAAGGATGGTACGTATACAAACATAATATAATGAAAGGTGCAGATGAAGCCACAGGATGGAAGGATATATGAAATCAATCCTAAAATATAGTGGCAAGCGTATTTTAATGCCAACATTAGGGTTCACTACTAAAAAATTCTTCAACGTTGTAAAAAGGATGAGTGGATAGCAATTATTTTAATTTCATTTTAAACAATCTGAATGATTGAATTTCTCGTAGATGTATTGGTGAGCAATTATAAATTATTAGTTCAGTATGAATGAAAGATTCCTTAACAAGATTGTATTTTGGTAGTGGTAGAGGTAATCTCAGTTTGTGCGATGATCGCGTAATATGGTTAGACGGCACTATATTATATATTTGTGACGATTCTTGTGTATATATAACACTATAACACTATGGAGGAAGGAAATGTTGCATGTGGACTCTTTCTTGACCTATCTAGAGCCTTTGATTGTATAAACTTTGACATATTAGGAACAAAGCTGCAACATTATGGAGTACGTGAGGTTGCTTCAAATTGGTTCAAATATTTCTTGAAAGGAAGAAACCACTCTGTGAAAATCAAGGAAAATATTTCAGGTAACTTTTTACAGTCAGATACTTTAGAAGTGTCACTTGGTGTTCCACAGGGCAGTGTGCTGGGTCCATCATATTTATAATTTTCATCAATGACTTTGCCACACTTGCAGAGCAGAACAACACAATAATCAACTTTGGAGACGATAGCACAATCCTATTCACCGGAGATACATTTCCTGATCTCATAAAAATTGCCAGTAGGACTATGATTGCAGTTGAAAACTGGTTCATTAATTCTAGATTAGTACTAAACCCTGAAAAAACGAATGCTGTGTTTTTCAAAACCAATCATAGGCTTGAAACTCCTACTCATATCCTAATCAATCATCAAAAAATACCATTTGTAGAATCCACTAAATCATTAACAATAATCATTGATGAAACACTAAACTTCGAAAATCATATTGATTACATTTCAAAAAAATTGAGCCAGGCTTGCTATGGCATAAGAATTCTCATAACTCTAATTTCAATATAACAAAAACCTTTTATTTCGCCAATTTTTATTCTCGCGCTCGCTATGGTTTTATACTATGGGAAAGTAGTTGGGAGGCTGAGAAGATTTTCAAAATTCAAAAAAGGGCAATTCGCATAATGACCAATCTGAAATACCATGATTCATGCAGGGGTTACTTCAGAAAAGTTGAACTACTCACTTTACCAGCACTGTATATATATGAATGTCTCAAATTCTTATATAAAAACAGGCATTACTTTGAACCCTTCATAATCCCTTACTCTTATGGAACAAGACATATATTATTATTATTATTATTATATATCTAACTTGAATTTTCCACGTCACCATCTGTCGTCTACTGAAAGAGGTGCTTTGTATTCAAGCATAAAGTTTCTCAACCATCTACCTTCAGCCATTAAAAATAATAATAATCTCAATGAAATAAAAAAAACCACTTATCACAATGCTTCTGGATCTGAAACCTTATTCAGTAGACGAATACCTCCATTTTGTGTTCTATAATCAATTAGCATATATTTTCGTATATCGTAAATCTATCCATATTTATTATGACTTTCTCATGTTTGACTGGCTTGTACTTCTTTTATAGTTTATGTATCATAGTGCAATAAAGATTATTATTATTATTATTATTATTATTAAGCAAGTGGTTTCTAAAATGAAAATTGAAGTAACTGTGAGGATTCTATTAGTTTTGAAAAGGTCGCGGCAAGAAATACGCGTTTTTACCTTACAAAGAGCCCTAATGGCTCTTTTTTGTACAACTTGCACCATATGTAACAGTTGTTTGTTGCACACTCCCCAGAAAGCAATGCCGTAGGTTAGGTGGGATTCAATAAGAGCAAAATAAGCTGTTTTAGCAGTTGTAAAGTCCAATTACCGTGATATTATCCTAATTGCGTAGCATCCGGTTGATAATTTTCTGCACAATTTCGTGACATGGTCGCTAAACTTCAACATATTATCAATGTGGAATCCTAGAAATTTTGTGGAGGAAACATTATCAATGATATTTGTGCCTAAGGTCAAGGCTTAAAGCTTGCAGCGGAACGTTAATAGATTCGATTTGGTGGCATTGAAGACTAGCAAGTTATCGTCACACCAGGTCTTAATCAGTTCAATGTCTACTTGTATCTTATGATGTAATGCGCTTATCTTTGTCATGCCAAAATATAGTGGTATCATCGACAAACAATGTATACTCTCCAGATATATTAATTTTTGTGAGATCATTTATATAAATTAAAAACAATGTGGGGCCAAGTACGGAACCCTGTGGCACCCCGCATTGAGTTGCCTTCTTTCGAGAGAGGTGGTTGGTTTTCACAATTTGTGTACGATTTTCTAGGTATGAATTGTGAACCACTGCTTGCTGAATCCTCTAAACCCATAGTATTCGAGTTTGCCCAGCAGAATTCCGTGACTTACACAGCCAAATGCTTTGGATAAGTCACAGAATACTGCTGCAGCGGCCACTCCTTCATTAATTTCATTATACAGTGTGTCCCACTTACTATGCTCACCATGGGTATCTTTTAAACAGTGAGAGATAGGAGGTCGGTTGAATGACACCAAATGTGGAGTTTGTCAAGGCCAACTATAATGTGAAAAAATATTTCGATAAAATCTATTCGTTTTTGTTTTATACGCAAAAAACAGATTTGGATCATTTTCATGTCTCCTCCGTAACTTCTTTATTTATGAAAAAATATGAAATTTATTCCCACTCTTCTAGAATTTGAGATATCAGCACCAACTTTAGTTTTCTATATGTAAGTCATAGCTCACTATGACTTAGTTACAAATAACTTTTTTTTTCTCTTACAGATGATATGTCGCAGAGACAGTTTTGTGTTGATAACAACGGAGTTATCGTCATTTATACAAAAACAAAACATTATTTGGAAGCCGCCATCTTGAATTCATGAATTTTAACAAGAAATCATGATCTCCGACCTCAAAAACCCCCGCTTACCAATTTTGAATGGAATCGGACCAAATCTTGTCCGTCATCTTGGAGCAGCCATTTTTTTTCAATTTCAACAAAAATTCCATAATGTATTGTCACCGAAATTATGGACACCTGCCGAATTTCAAGTTAATCGGAGTTATGGAATTTTTGTTGAAATTAAAAAAAATGGCTGCTCCAAGATGGCGGAGAAGATTTGGTCCGATTCCATTCAAAATTGGTGAGTGGGTGTTTTTGAGGTCGGAGATCATGTTTTTTTTTGTTAAAATTTATAAATTCAAGATGGCGGCTTCCAAGTAATTTTTTGTATTTGTATAAATGACGATAACTCTGTTGTTATCAACACAAAACTTACTGCGACATATCGTCTGTAAGTTATTTGTAACTAAGTCATAGTGAGCTATGAACTACATTTGAAAAACCAAAGTTGGTGCTGATATCTCAAATTCTAGAATAGTGGGTATGAATTTCATATTTTTTTCGAAATCACGTTGAAAAACTGCCATGAGAATGTGAAATTTCTATTTGAATATTTTCATGAATAAAGAAGTTGCGAAGGAGACATGAAACTGATCAAAATCTGTTTTTTGCGTATAAAACAAAAACGAATAGATTTTATCAAAATATTCTTCACATTATAGTTGGCCTTGACAAACTCCACATTTGGTGTCATTTAACCGATCTCGTATCTCTCAGCGTTAAAAAGATACCCATGATGAGCATGGTAAGTGGGACACACTGTATACCTTCGTAGGAAAGGCAAAAATTGCATCAATGGTGCTCTTGTGCTTTTGAAATCCAAACTGGTTCTCACTCACGATATTCTCAATCTATTCGAATTCCTTCACAGTATAATATGGAACGCCATTTTATTTTTTATTCGACATGGACTGAATGTTCCATTTCAATGTTACTTATTTTTCATTCTAGTTGACATAATTTTAATAGAATAGTTTTCATTATCAGAATTGGTATTCACATTGTTAATAGTAATTTTATTACCTTAACGCATTGGACATAGCAATGTGAATGTATCCTGCCTATCAATTTCCATGGGAAATATATTCAATTTCATTATC